GAGTCAACAAATAACACATACAGTAAATACTGTTTCTATTAATCATGAAACTATTTATAATTAAGTTCAATAATAGCTAATACTATAATTAGCATTCATTTTTTAAAATTAATTTGCATATAAAAGTAATTAAAATATTTTAAAAACTCTGCTTCAAACATCCCAGCAAGGGCAAACCCAGCAGCCCTAGATTTGCCGACAGCGCCATCTTCTGGGTAGCTTTACTATAAGCAGTTTTGTGAAAATTTTGTATCAATATATGCATGTGTGTATTGAGTCTTACTAGAAAATACAGTTATATTATTCGACTACTGGTCGAAGCCAAAAAGTTTAAGAAACAATGTTTAAAAGTTCTCCTGGAAGTATTTTATGGTGAGGAAAGTTAAAAGGGATTGTGTGTGTGAAAGAGATGTGGGGCTTCCCGTCCTCTGCTGAGATGACAGATACTATGCAAATGTTTTATGATGTGCAATCTCCTTCCCTCCCCAAGTCATGCCCAGAAGAGGGATTCTGGCGACCTGCCCTGTATCCCTGGATCTTTCCCTCTACCTGGGGTGGCCTGGGCAGGAGATGCAGGGCTCACATCTCTGTGGAGAGAAGGCTGGGCTCGCTGCAGTACTCGGCCTCTTCACTCATCTTCATGTCATAGGTCTCCTCTCAAGACACGTCCTCCTGACACACCATGGCTATCTGGCTCTCCCGGGAGGAGCAGGTAGAGTGACCAGAAGGGACCAAAGTATTAAGAACTATCGAGCCCTCAGCAAGTGAGGTGTCTCCCATGCATGTGCATACACACAGACACAACCACTGTGGCCTCTGCTTCCTAAAGCTGCTGATTAGGGCTTTTAAAGAAGGCCCTGAACTATATTATAGAGGGCAGGGAGGGCCAACTGTAGATGGCATGTCTCTGATTCTGACACTGGCTCCCTGAAGTAAAGATACAGAGAAGAAACCTCACGTAGAGAGATTTGTTCTCCTGAGCAGAGATAAGTCAGCCTGAGTTGGACTCCTGCTGAGCCTGAGTCCCTGCTGAGTCTGAGTCCCTCCTGAGCCTGGGTCCTTCACCCAGGGTGCTCCACACCCTCCCATTACTGAATGTGCCTGGGGTTAGAATGCTTCCCCCTCTGGAACAGGTTTTTCTGCTGATTTGGCCTCACCTTCTATAGCTCTGGGCTAATTGCTTTTCCTCTCCTGTCTGTGTAGCCTGGTACTTCCTGCCAGTTCTCTTCCTATGAATGTTGCATGCCAGGGCCAGTCTAGCCTCAGACCCATGAGGTCACCTGAGAAAGATCCCACTTATCTGTTTGGAACTCAGAGCCCCTGGCTTTGACCCTGGGTCTCTGAGCAACTCAGGCAAGGTCTGAGCAGAGTTGTCTGGAGAATAGCTACAGACTACTATCCCATTACCCCCCAGTCAGAGAGAATGATGAGATGCTAGAGGACCTTCATGGAGTATGGGGAGAGGGATGTGGAATGTGCTTTGGCAGCTCAATGGGATGGGCTGGGGGAAGAGAATGGTTGCAGGAAGGTGACATCACTCCATGGGGACCTTGTGTACAGGACCTGGGGGCCTGCTCTTAGCAAGAGCAATGCCAGAACTATAGCTGCCCTTAGCCTTGAACTTAGATATAAAGGACAAGGCCCAGAGCTGGAACTCTGTATCTTTCTCATCACTGGTTGAGGCTCAGCACCTGCAGTTTTTAGCAACTGTGATGGGAAGAGAGGCAACTGATGTTTACAAGCACTTCGTATGTGCTGTGTGTGTTGCACTTCACTGATATCAGAGGTTTCTGCTATTCTCTGAAAGAATTTAACTGAAAGGGGCCACTTTGGTTATTCACTGAACTAAATTCCCAGATGTCATTACCTTTATTTTATAAATGAAGATACTAAAGTGAGACAGAATAAAGACTTACATGCATGTTGGTGAGAGAGCTGGGATGCAGACGCAAACCTCCCATCTCCCTCCCTGGTACCCCTTCTGTGGCACCACAGGAAAACACTGACTGGCAGCCTGGGCTCCGAGGTGAGATGTAAGAAGGGTAAGAGATCACATTGCTCATCTCATGTGTATTTTCTCCTATTACTGTACCAGTGGGTGTCTGTTTTAGTTAGCTTTTTTTTTTTTTTTTTCCGCTATGGCCAAAAGACCTAACAAGAACAATTTGAGAGGAGGAAAAGTTTATTTTGGGGCTCACAGTTTCTGAGGTCTCATTTCATAGAGAGGCAGCTCCATTCCCCTGGGATTGAGGTCAGGTGGGACATCAAGGTGGAGGAGTGTAGTGGAGGAAAGAGGCTCAGGACATGATGAAGAAGCAGAGAAAGAGAGAGTGAGAGCTCTGCTCAAGAAGGACAAAATATATACTCCAAAGGCACACCCCAGGGACACACCTCCTCTAGCCACACCCTTCCTGCACAGAGTTACCACTCAGTTAATTCTTATCAGGTGATTAATTCACTGGTTGGGTTAAGGCTTTCATAACTTATTGATTTCACTTATAAACTATCTTGCATTGACTCACACATGAGCTTTTGAGGGACACCTAATCTAAACCATAATAGTGTCAAATTCCAGAATCATCCATGCAACTGGTTCAAACGCAGATTCTTGGCCCTAGTCACAGACACTCAGGTTTGGTAAATCCAAGCTGAAACCAGGACTCAGCTCTTTGAACAAGTCCCAAGAGCTAATTCTGTGGCTCATGCCCTTTTGACCACACTCTAAGAAGCACTGTGAAAGGCTAGAAGCTCTTGGAGAGCAGGGGCATCTTCTTAGGCATGTTTTACATAGACTTTTGCAGAGTAGCTCAGGGACTCTTGTGATAATGACATCGGATGACACAAGACAGGGTCACTGCTAACCCATAGGGTGCCTCTGTGCAAATAAGAAAAATGCCCCCTCCCACTGGAAGCAGCTTATGGGATGTGGTCTGAATAGTGAAGCACAGGTAGGGCCTTAGCCCTTACCTCTGAGGGGCCTGATCACCTTGTACCTGGTGCAGCCTGCACAGTGGTATGTGGTAACCTTCACTTTTGTCCCCTTCCCAACACAGGTCATTTTAATTTCAAAAGAGAGTTGAACATTTGAGAAACCCACCTGTAACTAGTGCAGATCCCTTGAGATGGGGCTCAGTCCTGCTTTAGGTGACAATCATTCCCCTCTATATTTTGAACTACATCCTACAACTTCAAGTCAACACCCAAAATAGTTTCTAGGCTTTGATGGAAAGGAAGAATTCAAAATAAATAATCTGGAGGATAGGAGGTCATTCAAAAAGCAAAGAAAACATGAGCCAGCTGGGGCTCCTTAAGACTCAGAAAGCAGGTTATCATGTCTCGCTGCTCTGTGCCGTACTGGGTGGGAAGGTCCCCCAGCACTTTGCATGCTGCTGAGCTCCTCTCTGATTGGTTGGCTGGATCTTCCAAGTGCCTCTTCCAGTGGTCCATGGATGGTCCTTACCTTCTGTCTTGATCCTCGAGGCTGTCCTGACCAGGGCAAACAGGGTGGCATTGAACATGACTGTCCCATCGCTGTTCAGAGGCATGTTCATGGAGACCAGACGCTGGAGGGGAGAGGAGGCAAAGCCAGAGATTATGGTTCTCAAAGGCCCTACACAACCACCACGGTGGAAATGCTGGGAGGGTGCCTGGTGACTTGTGTGGGTGCTCCTGGGAGTGGGTGGGTGTGAAGCGTGGGTTGCCGCAATGTACTCAAAACCTTCTCTGGGGAGAATCTGGGCTTTGCTGTGAGAACTCTTGCCCTTCTCCATAGAGTAGGGGACGATGGAATGTGTCCTTGACCTTCGCTTCCACAAAGGGATGTTAAGCCCACCCTCCCTGCTGTCCCGCCCAGTGCAGCTCAGCCCCGGGGTGTGCTTCTGCTGGCAATGAAGGGCAGCTGTGCACCAGGCACTGGGGGAAGCCTCCTGCCAGACAGCGTCCCAAACCCCAGGGAAGACAGGATGAGGGAGGGTCGCTTGGGGGAGGTGCAGAGCAGCCTCTTTCCATGTGTTGAAAAATTCATCTCTACATCAAGCAGCGCCAGAGGCTTGCCGACTCCAGGTAGGGTGGTATGCCTCTTCCCTCTTTCCCACCTCCCCAATGTCCTTCCACGGCCCTGTGCTCTGTGAGGGGCTGCCAGCACACGAGGTCATTGTGAGAAGGAGCATCGTGACGCTCATCATGGAGTCCACACCAGGGTGTGGTCAAGGAGGCTGCTTCTCAGACCACATGGGGTCCTCCTGTTGACCTTGTGCCAGGAAGTGTTGTCCTTTCCTGAGACACTGGGTGTTTCTGAGTCTCACGGGCAGTGTGAGTTGGAAAGCATAAAGCCCCATACTCAGACCTCCTAGTTCTGGAGGTTCCATGGGTCCTTTTCCCATCGTGCCTCTACTTTACACTGATCTGTGCTTGTTAGGGTTTGGATCTCAAATGCTCCCAAAGGCCCATGTGCTGAAGGAGGGTCACCAGTCTGTGGCACTTTTGGGAGGTGGTGGAACTTTTAGGAGGTGGGACCTCATGGAAGGAAGTTAGGTCATTGGGGGCATGCTCTTGAAGGGGCTATTGGGACCCCAGCCCCTTCCTGTCTCTTTGCTTCCTGATCACCTTGGGGTGAATAGTTTTCCTCCACCATGAGGTCCTGACATGCTGTAATGTGCCATTACAGGCCCAAATCCTCAAAGCCAAGCGACCATGAACTAAAACTATGAGCCAAAATAAATCTTTCTTCCTTATCATAAACCCTTTTTCAGGTATTTTTGTCACAGTGATGGAAAGCATGGTTAAACTCTTTTTTCTTCCATATTTTTTGTGACCTGTATAAAACACAGCAGACACAGAGGGTTCTATAAACCCTCTCTTCTCCATTTTCTATGAGTGAGTTATCCACAGAGCCAGATCTTTCTGCCATTTGTGTTTTTGCCCTATGCCGCCCTCTGGTCTCATTCCCCCCCCCAGCTCTTTCTCAGCTCATTATTATTTTATCAAGGAATACAAAGTGGTGAGAATGGAGATGGCATGGGATTTAATAGAAGAAGGGCAGAAGTGGGAGTAACATTCCTCAGCCATTGCTGGGCTGCATGGTTGGAGCTCTCATGCGGCAAGAGAAGGGTCAGGGGCTCACAAACTTAGGGGATGCTCACTCTCAGGGTAAGGAGGAAGTCTGTCTAACAGAATTTAGTATTTTTGTCTTCACTTATTTCATAGACTCACTTATAAATTTGATAAAAGTGACAGAGCCTCTTCTTGTGTGTGCTTGAGTGATTTTGCATACAATATTAGGGCTTTGCAGATCCCTGAAGCCAAGGCATGGCCTCTCTGATGGCCCTCTGGTTCCTGGGAAAGAACTCACCCGTCACATAGGCTAGAGGTTCCACAAGAGACCAGGAACAGTCCTTCATTCAGAAAGGTCACAAGGCTCAGTGGGACTTGAGGCTTCACTCTGTTGTTCCTTTACTATGTCTGAGAACTTAGTCTAGAAGGGCCCTTACAATATGATCTGCTCAGGTTCATTTCTTCAGGCACAGACGTTATTATCTTTATTTCCTTAAGGATTGTTATGGTTTAGATGTGACGTCTCCCCAAAAGCTCACATGGAGACAATGCAAGGTTTGGAGGAGAAATGATTGGGCTATAGCCTTATCCTAATCAGTGGATTAATCCCTGGTAGGATTAATTGGATGGTAACTGGAGACAGGTAGGGTGTGGCTGGAGGAAGTGGTTCATTGGGGCCAGGGATATGCGGTATATATTTTGTATCTGGGGAGTGGAGTCTCTCTCTGCTTTCTGATCATCGTGTGAGCTGCTTTCCTCTGCCACTCTCTTCTGCCACATTGTTCTTGCCTCACCTGGAGCCCTGCAGAATGAAGATGGCTGTCTGTGTCTGGATACCACTGAAACTATGAGCCCCCAGTCAACCGTTCCTCCTCTACAATTGTTCTGGTCAGGTTTTTTAGTCACAGTGGAGGAAAAGCTGACAAAAACAAGGATATCTGGCCTGACCAAAGTCCCAAGGTAAACAGGCATCTTGCTTCCCATATTTCTTCTCTTTCTTCCATGATCCCAGTTTGTCTCTTTGCAGGCCACACAGTGAGGTCATAGGCTTCCCAAAATCCAGCAGGGGCTGATGTGCTGGAGGAAGGTCACCACACCTAGGAGTCTGAAGCAAACCCTGTAGGAGGAAGGAGAAGAGGGGAAGAATGATCAGTCTCTGCCTGCAGCCCAGCTGGGGTGGGGGGTCCACCTACAGAGGGGTATTCTCCATGGTGTGGCCCTGCTGCAGATTGCATGGTAAAATTTTTAAAAGAATATGCAAATGTTAAGATTTTTTTTTGTTCCAGGTGAAAGGGATTTTAGTAGTGTAATTAAATTCTCAATTAACTAATCTCTGACCAAAAGAAATTTATGGGATATCAATCAAAGATGATAAATAGGTGAGGGTATCCTTAGAACTGAGGTCAGGAGTAGAGTCCAGATTTTCCTGAACCTAAGTATTCTAATGGGAGTACTTATTATTATTCCTGAACCTGGGCTTTCCTGTCCTTCCATTCAACTGAGATGTTCTCAACTTAGTCAAAGGTTGTTGGCCTCCTCCTGGAGTCTGGCATTGTCTCACACGTAAGGTTTTTGGGGACATCACATCTAAACCATACAGTCCTTAAGGGAATAAAGTGTTAGGTGTTTCCCATTGATCCACCCCATGCTGATCCATCATGGACCTCTTCCATAGGTATGGTCACCCAAGCCCCTTTTAGCTCAGGGAATCAAGATTTCCCTCAGGGAACATACTTGGCCTCAGGGTCATCCTCTGCCCAGATCCTCTTAAATTCATCCAGGTGGTGGGGACCCAGGATTGACCAGTCCCTTGTCAGGTAGTCAAAGTTGTCCATGATGACAGCCACAAAGAGGTTGATGATCTGCAGGGAACAGTAGGTACCGTGAGGGGCACCATAAGGACTTTCTTACACACTTGCCACTTGAACCCAACCTTGCCAGCCCAGGCATGGCAGAAGCCAACATTTCTAAATTCCAGAAATACATCAGCATGTAAAACACTGCCCAGGACGAGTGAATATTATGGTAGAATTTACTGCAGGACAGAAACATAACTCCAGCACCACTAGAAAAGACCCAATAGCGTCGTAGTCCAGGGTATATATAGCACATATTTAATTGCTATTGGTCTAAACTTATGCTAATTGGGTTTTGGAAAAGTACTAATGCTTTTGGTCCCATTCAGGTTTGCCTTCTATGCATTTGCTCCCTGCTTCAAGAAACAGGAGTTTGAAGTCTTTTAATTGCGCATGCTCAGTGGTGTGTCTGGCCTGGATCCTGGGTGGAATGCACTTCAGCAGCGCGCATCCCCACTGTGTGTGAGTTGGGATGCTGTGAGGTGACAGATCATCTTGCCCCGGCTCACCACGGCGCTGGCAGGGACCAGTAGGTTGGCTGCAGACGGGGAGCCATGTCAGTTAGGTTCATGTAGTTTTTATGACTGTCATATATCCTTGGAGGATTATTCCTTATATCAATACCAAATATCCCCTTTTGTCTTGTAATGTGCCTTTCCCTTGGGATTCTATTTCTTCTGGTACTGCTGTTATCATACGGACACCTTAAGCACTGCTTTTCGTGCCTTCTCTAGCCCTTTATTTTCATTCTTTTTAAGTCATTTTGTTTTTACTGTCTCTCATAAATAAATAGGCTACAGCTAGATTTTTTTTTTAACCAGGGATTGAGCCCAGGGGCGCTTAACTACTGAGCCACGTTCCTAGCACTTTTTTATTTTGAGACAGGGTCTCGCTGTGTTGCTTAGAGCTGAGGTTGGCTTTGAATTTTCAGTCCTCCTGCCTCAGCCTCCTGAGCTGCTGGGATTATAGGCGTGCCCAGCTGATGTTCTTAAGGAACTGCTAAACTGTGTGTGTGTGTGTGTGTGTGTGTGTGTGTGTGTGTGTGTGTGTATGTGTGTGTGTGTGTGTGTCTATAGTATAACCAGGGCCTTACCTGGAATGTCATATTTGTGAATGATGCTCATGTAATCAGCAATGATAAGCCATTTTTATTTATTTGTTTGTTTGTTTTAGTACTGAGGATTAGACCCAGGGGTGTTTTATCATTGAGTTATATCCTCAGACTTTTTTTTTTTTTGAGACAGGGTCTCATTAAGTTGCTTAGGGCCTCACCAAGTTGCTGGGGCTAGTCCTGAATTTGTGATCCTCATGCCTCAGCCTCCTATGCTACTGGGATTGCAGACATGCAATACCATGTGCCATCAGCTAGAATTCTTAAAGTCAACATTAGGATATTGATCTTTTAATGGAGAACTTTAACTCATTTAATTTTTTGTAATCATTAATAATATCTTTTTTTCTGCCTTCTTATTTTATTGTCCCAATTTCCACATTTTATTCTATTCTTTGCTACTTTTGCTCTTTCTTTTGATGAATAACTAAGGTTTTCATTGTCTATATTTCTTTTTGTAGCTTGGAATGTACACATACCATTTCTATTTTTCTAGTTGTTGACCTTTCAATATTTAATATATGAATTTAACATACTTTTCCCTTAGTTACCCAAAGACTTACTCAGTATCCATTTCTTTTCCTGAAACAAGAGGAGAATCTTAGCACAGTTTCATGTTTCTCATTCTACTGCCTTTCTTCCTAATTTGTTGAGATAATATGAGATTTTATTTCTAAATTGTTAAAGTTTGGGGCATTTCCTCTTAACAATTACTTCAGCTTTATCTCTAGCACTGCAAAAATCTTATTTAGGTTTAATAAATATTTAGTAGTTTATATGTTCATAAATCCTAAGTATAAATGTTACAGTTTCTTCACTCATATCTTTTTAATATTTATTTTTTTTAGTTTTAGATGGACACAATATCTTTATTTTCTTTCATGTGGTGCTCCTCAGCAAACCCAGTGCCTCCCATGCATGCAAGGTGATCACTCTACCACTGAGCCACAACCCCAGCCCTTCACTCATATCTTGATTCTGCTCATTGTGTTTCTAGACTCATTCTTCATTCTGTGGAAGTACATAATTGTATAATTGTGACAAGGCCTGGTAATGTGAGAGAGTAAACTTTTGAGATGGTTATATTTCTGGAAATGTTTATTTTGTGTTGCTACTTGAATACTAATTAGACTGCAAATAGGAGCCTAAATTAAAAAGTACCTTTTCCTCATAATTTTGCACACATTATTCCATTAGCTTCTAGTGTGCACCTTTGTTGAAGAGAAGTCCAAGGCCAGTTGATGCTTTGCAAATCAATCTTTTTCTTCTTCAGCAACACCATTCACTGGAGAGACTGTTCTTTCTCCATTGTGTGATCTTGCCACCTTTGTTGAAAATCAATTGACCATAAATGTTGGGTTTATTTCTGGAATCTCTATCCTGTTTCATTAATCAATGTGTCTGTCTTTATGCAACTACTGAGCTGTTTTGATTATTATAGCTTTGTAATGGATTTGAAGTCAGGTAGTGTGATGCCTCTAGCTGTGTTCTTTTTTGCTCAAGATTGCTGTCGCTATTCAGGTCCTTTGTGGTTCCACGCAAATTTCATTTCTATTTTTGTGAAAAATGACATTGGCATTTTGATAGGGATTACATTGAATTTGTAGGTTGCACTGGGTAGAATGGACATTTTAACAGTATTAAATCTTCTAGTCCATGCATATGGGGATACCTTTCCACTAATTTGGGTTGTCAACTATTTCTTTCATCAGTGTTTTATAGTTTTCAGTAAATAGATATTTTACATCATTAGTTAAGTTTACTTATATTTCTTCATGCTGTTGTGAATAGAATTAATTTTTAAATTTCTTTTATAGATATTGTACTTTCAGTGCAAAGAAATGCTTCTAATTTTAGTGTGCTAATTTTGTATCCTGAAACTTTCCTGAATTCATTTATCATTTCTAAGAGCTTTTTGATGGAATTTTTAGGTTTTCTTTAAGATATAAGAACATGTCATCAGCAAAGAGACAAATTTACTTTTTCCTTTTCTACTTAGATGCTTTTTATTTATTTATTTTTAGTTATCCAACTGCTCAGGCTGGAGCTTAGAAGACTATGTTGAACGGAAGTGCTGAGAGCTGGTACCCTTGCCCTATTCCTGATCTTATGATGTTAACTTCAGACTTTTACACATATGGCATTTACTGTGTTGAGATACCTTACTTCTATGCCTGATTTGTTGAAAATTTTTATCATGAAGGATGTTGAATTTTGTCAAATGTTTTTTTTTCTTCATCTATTGAGATGATCCTATGGTTTTTGCCCTTCATTTGGTTAATATGCAAATCACATTTATTGATTTGTATTCCAGGTTTAAATCCCACTTGATGGTAGTGAATGATGCTTTTAATGTACTGTTGAATTCAGTTTGCTTGCATTTTGTTGAGGACTTTGACATCTATGTTCATTGGGGATATTGGTTTGTACTGTTCATTTCTTATAGCATCTTTTCCTGGCTTTGGTGTCAGGCTAATGCTGGCCTTGATAAACTTCCATTTTTTGAAGTTTTTCCACTTTGGAAACTTTTAGAATATTTTATTTATCGTTGGTATTCTAAAAAGTGATCATAATGTACCTAGTTAAGGAATTTTAAAAATTAACATTCTGTACTTAGTAGGCCATTTCAGTCTGAAGGCTCATATCCTTATTTGAAATATTATTTGATCACTAATTCATTTCACACTTCCCATTCATTCTATTCTTTTTGTCTGGAATTTCCATTTCAGAGATAGGATTTTTCTGGCCCTACCCTCCATGTCTAAAATTTTATTTCATATTTTCTCTCTATCCTTTGAGTATTAATGAGAAAACCCCCTGGTTGATCTTTTGGCTCATTCATACTTTCATTCTTCAGCTATGCCCAGTCTATTCCTCCCATCTACTTTAAAAAAAAGTTTCAACCCTGGTATGTCTACTTCTCTAGTTTATTCTTTACTTCACTCTTTTTAGTAATGGCTGCTGCTGCTACTGCTATTACTTCTAATTTAACAGATATGTTCTCTAGTCTCTCTAATGATATGAATTATATTTATTGTATTTATATTATACACACAGGATTTATATTTATTTCAATAATAGAATAAGTTCAGTTTATTCTTTTTCCTCCCTCTGAGTCCATTAATCTGTAAGTCTAGTGTGAGGCGTCTCTTTCTTGATGTTGGTTTCTCCCAAATACTTTGGAATTATTGTTGATTTCTCTTTGTGACAGAGAACCCCGTTCACACCTCTCTGGACAAAGTCCTCCTCCTAGAGGGCTCTCTGAGGATCATGAAAGAAAGACAAGATGAGCTGCAGGTAGACTGGACAGGGGGCTTCTTTTTGAGGTTTGGGTCCCTGAGGGGAGGGTACTCTGTCTCTCAGAAGCAAAAGCCCAAGGGTGTGATATCAAGTGCCATTGCTTCTAAGTTATGAGCATTCACAAATGTTCCCCAGCAAAGCAAGTCTCTGAGGAACCAGGGGTCCCAGGCTGTGGCCCCAGTTCTCTCCTGTGCCTTGCATCTGTTGACCCTGAGCTTGGAGACTCCCTGGGCTGCTCTCACTTCCCCATAGTCTCACCCTGTCTGGAGGTGTGCACTCCTCAGGTCTTGTTCCTTGGTCAGTGGAATCCCAACTGCTTTCTTCCATTTAGTAATCCCTCAACATTTCTGGCTAACCTAAGGTGCTCTTTCATGTTTTTTTGTTTTCCTATTTCCAGCAGTATATTCTTTTAAAAAGTATCTTCTGTCATCAAGAACTTTAGGAAAGTGCCCCTGGATGGACCCAGGTGATCATTCTGAGATCTGTGTTTAACTCTACTTAAATGTGGCACAGGCTTAAGTATTACTTTTAAATGACAGTTTATATGGCCCTTGTGTTCTGATAGTTTATAATCTGTGGGAGGTTGGGATGTCAGGCTGATATTTAGACAGTCCACCACTGTGATACAATGCATTCTGAACAAAAACTATATTTAGGCTTATGTGTGTTTTGCAGAACACAGTGGAGGTGAGTCTATTGGATAAAGGGTCCCAGACCTTCAATAAAGGGACATCATGGAGTAGAAGAAGGTTGCTGCCTAGTATGTAAAAGAGATGAACTAAAATAGACTTTAGAAATCATCTAGATAAGGAAGGACAAATATTTTTCATCTACCACCAGGACTAGGTGGAGCCCCAGAATGCTAGGCTGTGATGAGCAGGAAAGTAAGAAGTTGGAGGCAGATGAGGGCATCATCATGAGCCTTCTAAGAAGGAAAAACAGGCTCAGAATGAACACAGGGCACTGTGACAAACACCTCCTTCCCCAGCATTCCAGAGGTGGTGGCCTTCCAAGAAGTGTTGAGGCTCAAGGCTGACTTCAGTGAGTATAAAAGTCAGTGCAGCGGACTGTGTACCTCCCATCTACTTTTAAAAAAGTTTCAACCCTTGTATGTCTACTTCTCTAATTTATTCTTTACTTCACTCTTTTTAGTAATGGCTGCTGCGGCTGCTATTACTTCTTCTAATTTAACAGATATGTAATGTTCTAACACAGCAGATGGCACACACACTGGCATAGTGATCAAAACCCATATTTGTTTTATAGGGAAACTGAGGCTCAGAGAAAGTAGATGTCCAGCTCAAGGCCACAAAGCCAGCATGCTGCAAATTTGGCTTTAAAGCTGTTCAGATTCCAAGCCAGGGTGCTTTCAGTTCAACTGGCCATGGGTGGTTACCAGCAGGTGTCAGCATCCAACAGGTCGCTCCTGGAAAGTTAACACGAATAACAATGAAACAAGCAGCTTCCCAGTCAGGGGAGGGGTAGTGAAGGCAGCACCCACTCAGTGCTTCCTCTTCCTACTCACTTCACTCTTCTACACCCAGGTAGTGCCTAAGGCCCCACCCAGCCTCTGGACTTACTGTGGACATTCATAAGAATTGTGCCCTTGGCCCTCAGCCAAGGTCCCCACAGCCAGCAGGAACTGGAGCTGAGAGCAGTGGAGGCCTCTGACTAGGACCTGCTCCTGTACAGGGACACTGGACCCACTGCCTTTCTTTCTTTGCCATTTTAGCTCCTATGTCCGAACACTCTTCCAGACTTAGGTTCTTGTATTTTAGAGTGTGGTAAAAATGAACGACCTGGGGCTTGAACAAACTGAATCCATCCTTGAAATCAGAGGCCTCCCCCCTCCACCCTGTCTTTTAAGGTAATGCTTGTCCTTTTATCAGGTGTCAAGGGAGCTGTTTTCATCGCAAAGTTTTGGACTGAGGAACCTTCAGGTCTTTCTTCACTGAGCAAGTGGGGAGCTTGCTTAAGCTTCTGGCCAGTGTGCAGTGCTGGGGAGGGGAAGGGCTGTCCAGTCTGACTTGGGGAACTCAGCCGGAGCCCTGAGGAGGCTGGAGAATTCTGGTTTGGGGAAGAAGGAGCAGAAGCATCTGGGAAGGGGAGGCCCCAGGAACTGCTGCGTGTTTGAGGAGGCACTACCTTACCTGTTCTCCCTTCCCTCTCTCTTCTTCCCTCTCAGTCCTTGGCTTATGAATGCCACTGGGTGGAGGGGAATTTGCAGGCCACTTAGAGTCACAGAACACAGGCCTGGACCCTGAGAAGGGAAAACTAAGCTGTTGCCAATCAACTTGCAGCCCATAGAAAATCCTGAGTGATGTTCCAGTTCCTGCAACCCTGAGGGACAGTCAGAAGCAAGAGTAAGAGGAGAGAGAGCAGGGTGGCTGGGAATGTGGTGCTGAGAGCTGGGGAGAGATGCAGTAGAAGGAGAAGGAGGCGGGGACGGGGGGGGTGAGAAGCTCTTCCTACCTGCATCCCAATGACTGCATAGATGAAGAACAGCATCACTATCAGAAGGGCCACGTAGGGCAGGGCCTGGAAGGAAGCATGGAGGACACCAATTAGGCCCCGGGGACAAGATCCCTTCCCAGGGAGCACTGTGTCCCCTTCTTTGCAGCCATCAGCTGCTGCCTGACTTTGGGCAGGGGGCACTTCCAAGAGCCCTACAGAAGAACTGGGCACCTGGAAGAGCCTGAGAAACGGGCATTGACTTCTCATTTTAGTCTTTTATTTGCTTTTTGTGGTGCTGGGGATGGAACCCAGGCAGGTGACGCTCTAGCACAGAGATCCACCTGGGCCCCTAGCTTGGTTTTCAAAGCAGGCTGCAGTGTGATGCTGCAGTGCCGCACTACTGTAGTGAGCAGAGTCAGGGGAGAGCCGAACCTCCTTAAACTGCACAGAAATATTAGCACATGGCAGGAGAGAGTAGTGGAGGATGGTGCCCCCCTGGCCATTGACATCTGGGGAGAGGTGGAGGAGGCGGGCTGTACCCCTCTTTATTCAGCTGACTTTTGCTCCACTAGTTGTGGGAGCAGGTTTTACTGTTGTGAAAGCACGGAACAAGAAGAAATGTGAAAGCTCCTGGGCTTGAGTCCTGTTCCTGTCACTCACTTCCAGATACCTGAGTTGGGCAAATTACCGAATCTCTTTTAGCTGCAGTTTCCTCATCTGATGCTTTGGAACAATAGCCTTTTGGGGTTTGTGGCGTTTAAATGACTTGAGGCTTATAGAATATTTAGTGCATTCTCACAGTCACGTGCCACACATTTAATTCACTCAACATATTATCTGACAACTTAATTTTCCAGAGCCACAGCTGGGGAAAGCACCTTGGGCCTCCACACCAATTCCTTTTGTGGGATCCAGGAGCCCAGCATGCTGGCTCCGAAGGAAATGAGTCGCCAGTGGCTGCACACCACCAGATGGCGCTGCGAGATCACTCAATGCTTTTTCCATCCAGCTGCACTGGGCTCCTCATTCAAGTGCCATTCCTCATAGTCACCCCAGCCTGTTTTCTCTTTCCAGCCCAGGGAATCTTTGAGGTTGGGGGCTGTATGGCCACCACAGCTTTGGACCCCAGGAATCAGTAACCAGGTCAGCCCCCAGTCTGCTTCCATGAGGGCTGCCGATTCAAATCCCCAGAGAGCCGCCCCTCCCCCACCTGGGCAGGACCATGGTGGGGAGCTGCAGCTCCTTGGAGGTGGGGAGTCAGCTTGGGCTTGGGCTGGAGGAGCACTGGCTCCCAGAGCGCAACCAGGCTGAGGCCTTGACTGCTGGTCCAGCAGATGGTCTCTGTCCCTGCCTGGAGGGGACTGCCTTTGGGAGGGGACTCCAAAGCAGGGAAGCAGGGGCCCTAGAGCATCTGTCCTCTGGCTGTAACCGCAGCAGGAGACATACCTGGACCAGAGACCAACTCTATGCCCTATCTGAGGCCTGGACTGGCCAGGGCAGGGGACATGGAGATTGTTCTTTAGAGATGATGATTCTCCAAGTCCTGGGGACTCTGGGAGTGGCACTTCCACAGGAGGAGAGAGGCCTGCCTTCTGCGGGGCCAGGGGAGCAGTTAGGGGCTGCTGCCATCATCTCCAAGGAATCCCAGGGACCTAACTGCTCTGCTTCTCTTTAACTTCACACTTACATAACACTCCTCAGAGCTGCCAGAGGTGACTGTGAGCTTGTTTGTACAGGTGGAAAACGATGGCTGAGAAAAGGAAATTAATTATGCAGTAGTCAGGCAATCCTGGGGCCCTATGAGGGGTCTGCTTTCCTGCAGTGGAGTGGCACCAGGGTCCCTTAGGGTTTGGCAAGGGATGATACTGATCTGATGGGGATTAGGAATCGGTTCTTGTTCCCTGGTTTGAAGATTAAACACCCTAGAGATGCTGAAGTAAGTGGAGAGAGCAAGTTTTATTTAAGAAAATGATAGAGACACACTTCTCAGAAGAGAAGTGGGGGCTTCAGAGCCAAAAGTCTGTGGGAAGGAGTATGACTTGCTCCTTTATAGACTCCAGAACCTCTCTCTTTCATTATTATCTTCTCTTTCTTTCCCCATATGTGTGACTGAGAGAAAGAAGGAACAGGAGCACAAAGGTTAATCTTTAGCAACCCTTTGTTCTCTTTTTGATAACTAGTCTTCATCCTCTCTCGACCCCCATCCTTCATTATCTATACTGACTGCCTTACCTCTGCCTCAGTTTCCTGAGGAATGTGACATATCCTGTCCACTTAGGCCAGGTGGCCTGCCAGAGAACTGCTTTTTGGCAAAGAAAATGTGTGGGGGTCAGCACATTGGGTGCATTTATGGAATTATTTTCTTAACCTGTGTCCCCGCCATCCTCACCTGCCCCCTAACAAGGACATATCCGGATAGGGTCAGCAGACATGGCTGAGAGGTTCCCAAACTGCAGGAATTGGAAGGGGTCAAAAAGGTTATCAGATGATCTAGGCCTCTGTTTTTCTGATTTGTTCCATCTCACAAAACCCCTTTGCCCAGTAAATTCTTAATGTAGTAAACACATACATCTATTTCTCCTCCCACTCTGTGCACCCTGCCTTCGGGGAAGTGAGGAGCTCCAAGAGTCTCAGACTCTTGACACCCAGAGCTGAAGTTCCCCCACTTAAACTTGTTCTTTCCTCTTTTTCTCCTTTCTGGAACACAGTGGAACTGACAGCTGGGTTATAAAACCCTAAGCCTCCTCTGTGAGCTCCTCTGGGGGAACAAACCTCTTGCTTAGGAGGGAAAATAGAATTTCAAGTAGACACAGGTGATAGAAATAGAGGAGGAGGCCATCAAAGACCTCAAAGTAAACAGGCAGGGGCAGGCCCAGGGACAGCACAAGGACTGCTGCCTGCAGGCCCCTCTCCAGGCCCTCAGGGAGCCCATGTGGCAGGCCCCCAGTACCACAGTCTGTCCCCTGCCTTATAGGGAGCAGGAGCCCTAGGAGGAGCTGAGGCAGCTCTGATTTTGAACCTAAGAAATATGTTGACTCTTCTCCTGTCTGGAGGGTCCAAAAGCCAGGAGAGACCCTCTGCTTGGTTTCTATGCAGAACCCCCAAGGTGAAATGGGCAAGCTGTAAAATCTGCCTCTGAATTTCCCTGCTCCCTCAGGGGTCTCCTGATCTGAGTAGGAGACGAGTGGTCCCTGAAGCCATCCCACCAGGTCAGGAGTGGACGGGCCTGAGGAGCCCTCAAGGGCTTCGGGCTAGTGGGCTGTTCAGGGAGTGGAAACAGGCTTGGGCCATTTCACGGGAATAGTGTAAAATACAGGAAAAGGAAAGCGGGGGTGGGGTGGGCCGCCAGAGACCCCTCCTTCCTTGAGGGGAACCTGGAACCGGAACAGTAACAGGAAGCTCGAGGGCCGGTTCTCTCCTGGTGCTGGCAGGGCCTGGTGAGCTGCACTGGCTCTGGGAGGCGGGAAGTGGCTCTCTTGAGGGTGACCAGGTGCCAGCTCCCCAGGCTCTGCAGCACAGCCTGCTGCTCCTGTGGGCAGGGGGCTCAAGATGGGAGGTCAGTTCTTGTTGTTCTTGGGTCTGGAGGCAGAAGAGGACAGGGCTGTCTGTCCTGTCTTTGGAACCCTGGCCAGGCATGTGCCCACAGTCTCCTGCTCCTCCAGATCCCACAGCTGAAGGTGAGCCTCAGCCAGCAGAGTCCCCTGCAACCCAAGAGTCATAGCCCACTCCAGCTTGCCTTGGCCTCGATGCCCACCCTCTTCTTCCCCTTCCCTCCAGGACTCCAGGGAGGGAGATGATCCATCCTAAACAGATCCCTTGGTCCTCAGAGAGCAAGGCCCAGACATTCCAGGGATCACTGCAAGTGACACCTCCCTACCTCCCCTCTGTGCCCTCATCCCTTCCAGGGTCTCCCACAGCCTGGACAGGGTGGAGCCTCCTAGAAGCCCCAGGGAAGAGAGGAGTTAGAAGGCCACCGGCTTCCTTCCTTCGAGGAAGGCAAGTGCTGCAAGCCAGACCCTCCCTCGCCCAGCACCAGCAGCACCGCACTCCCCAGCCCCTTCCCCTGTAGCCATAGGGGCAAGGGCTGTGGGAAGCAGGGGGAGGTGACACAAGAGAACTGCTGGAGTCCAGAGCAGCCAGGGCTTGAGACCCCTTCAGTGGGCAGCCACCCCACCCGTCAGAACCCCTGAATGCAATCCTAAGGGACAGCTGCTACCTAGCATCCTCACAGAGTGCCAGGTCCCACTCAGGGTGTAGGACCCTCAGCTGAGCTAGACAGAGGGAGAGCCAGGAACTCCAAGGGAAGCCAGCTCTAGGCCTAGTTTCCAAAGTATATGGTAGCTCCTCTGGAGCTTTCTGTTGCTCCATGCAGGATCACTGTAATGCCAGATTCGTGGGACCACAATAGACCCCCTAGGAGCCGAATCCGATGCAATCTCACAAGAGTCTTTATTGCAAGCTCAAGCCTGAACTCACAACCGTTGCCAACGCAGCAGTCCCAGGGTGTGAGTCCCAGTCCTTTGTTCAGAGAGATTTTATAGGTTTTTTTGAGGATACTCTATGCATCACAACATCACACAGCAAATCATTCCATACCGTGGGAAAAATCAAACAACAACTCTTAACATTGATTAGCACATTCACTGGTGGGAACAAGTTGGGTAGGGGTGATTGCTTAGTACAAGAGGGGGGATTCCTTTGAACTGATTGGTTTAAGCCACGAGGGGTGTACATGTTAAACGACATGGTTTCCCACCATGTTATCAACCACCATAAATTACTGGGGGTCATCTGGCATTCCAGGTATTTTTCCTGTCTCATGCTGATTGGTGGTTGCTAAGGGGTTGCTATGGGTCCTCACCTAGCCTAACTGAGTCAGGGACACCTGGCACCACAGCTCTCTACTGATATTTGCAGACAAACAACTCAGCAGGGTGGGTATGTGCTTAGGAGTGCTCTGTGGGTTTTTCCAAGGACAAGGGTCACGCCCCCTTCCTTGGACAGGCTTTGCTCTGAGGTAGAGGCTGGTTTCTCAAAAATGGAGTCACATCAGTTTATCATCACAAACTAGGAATGAAGAGTAA